TCAAACTCCTTTAATTCTTTGCTGGGTTTAATGGTATTGACGTACTATGGTCTATACTCCGTAGTATTTTAATGATGCCTAGTATTGCAGTAGCGCTAGTCTATTAGCCTAAGCCACTGCCCCTGTGGCTGTGTAGTCACTTCTCTCGTCCAATTTAATTTTGACTTACTTTGCTTTTTCAATAACATCAACTTAAGAATTTTCTCATCTCAATTCAACCAAATAGTCCGTACTTCATTTCTTCAAACTACTACCAGTTGGCATTTGCTAGCATCTAAATTCTAAAGAGTGACTAACCCAAATTTGACCTCATTTCTTCGAATGATGGTAGCATGAACTCATTTTGATGGAAGAAAGTATGGTGCTAAAAAGATGCAAAAATTAGATTTATGCTGTCTTAGTCTATTATATATGGAAGTCTTTTGGCAGTATATTAGCCTATATGTAACATTTTGCTAAGAAATGATCCATTATAAAACTACTATTACTATTGCTATGACTTGTAACTTTTGAAATCTGTGACTTTTGTTATGCCGTTGGCCTCCAAACTCTTTGTTATGTTAGTATGCTATGAATGTGATGTTCAATGAAGGGATGTAAAATTGATGCTAATGTGCTTTATTACTTGTGGTTCATATTCTGGCAAGTTTCCATGCTATGTCTGTGTAATGTGTTACGGTCTTAAAGTTGTAGAATGTGTAACTTTCAATTTGTAATTAAGTAACTTATTTTGTGACTCTATTCATTCTCTTCACTTTCATCATTACATTTAAAATATGTTTACTAAAAACCTTTGCGTAGCATTAAATGGTAAAGTTATGAATCTGGTTTTTGAAACTTTTATTTTAAAAAAATTTAAAACTTACACGTAACCATATAATTTATCAGGTATATCACTTTATTTACTTTTTTATGTTTAACTTAGCATATAGAAATCCACTATAATATCATAAAAATCATTTAAGGTAACAACTAATTTTTATAGTGATACGAAAGAATTAGAGATGAGAAAATTACTACACGTAGTGTACTACGGCTAGACTTTTGGGGCACAAGCAATTTGAGTAATTAAACAAAGCATTTTGTAAAAACGACTTCACGCTTGTGTATTCGTCACTTCATTACGACTAGTGCAGTATTGATAGTCTCCCTAGCTCATTTAGTCACTTCATGTTGAAGTCCCATAAATAACTCCAAGTCTACTCCATCAGTCTGTTGACTCGATCTGTCCTACGGAGTATCACCGAACAAAGAACAAAGTATTTACTCCAACTTTTAATTTCAATTTTTCAATGAATACTTTGCAACAAAAAAATTTCAATGAATACTCCTTACTAATAATATACAGTACTATTCCCCTTGTCACACACACACAAAAAGTGTACTATTTCCTTCGTTTTCTTTTATTTATTCTTAAAAAGTTGTCAATTATTTAAATTTTTGGTTAAATAGAGTTAATGAGAAAGAAAATTGTTGAGTTAGATGTACGGGTTGTAGTGATCCCCACCCTTTTGTCCAAATAATCGATCCATTATGTTAGAATTTCATATATGACCGTTCCATGGTCCTCGAAATAATACAATTTTACGGCTTAAAACAAAATTGTCACTTGTTAAACTAAATTATACGGAGTATATAAATATATTGCTATAGAGACATCCGGACATGATTAAGAAATTCTAATCTAACATTATACAATTAGGGTTGTTGCAAAAACAACAAAAAAAGTATACATACATGTCAATGTCGTGAACGAATTTTTTTACTACAAGATATTAAAACTAAAATTCCAATTAAATCAGCAAGAAATCAACATATGTTGGATCAGGAAACTGTCTAAAAGAGATTAGAGAAACTTCTCTTATTCTCCTTGGCTTCACACAAGCTTGAGGTCATTATCAATATAGTATTAAAATCAAGTATTAATAAGCCATCACATTAAAGTATCACCATCCATAATTTATTTATTACTTTCAATAGTCGTGCCTTTTTTTTTTTTAATATTATTATTTGGTGTGGTTAAAGGTGAGTTAGCATCTAGATAATTCATTGGATTTTGCTAAGGATCTTGCTAACAAGTGCCTCGGGGCGTTAGATAAAAGATTACTATATTACTTAAAATAGTATTAAGTTTGGAATGCATGACAAAATCACGCATCGATCGGCGTAATTAATGTTAATTTCACTATAATATTTTCATATTTAGCTCTCTTATTTAACACCCCGAGTTAAATAAGTACCCAGCTAATAAGTACTTATTTAGCTGGGTACTTCTAAAGTACCCAGCTAAGTTAAAAAAAAAAATCCGAAAACTTAGCCTTTTTATGTTTGACTCAACATATAGAATATTAGAAATCTGCTCTAATTTTATGCGACTAATAATGATTTAAGATCGCACCAATTTACTCTCTCATTTCCATCCAAAAAAAAATACTATCTCATTTTTTTTTTTTTTAAACAAATAATATCTCATTTAATTCACCTAATTGCAGTAATTTATAGTTATGAGACAGAATTAGAGATGAGGAGAAAATTTCCACACGTACTGTACTACGGTAGACTTGGGGCACAAGCAATTTGAATTTTGAAAAAAAAACTTAACGCCTGTATAATCGTCACTTGACGTCGTTAGTAATATAACTCTCTCTACTCCATTACGCCCCTGGCTTATTTATTCGCTTCATGTTCCACACCTATCAGAGTACAAAGTATTTACTCTTACCCCATATTTTTTTTTTTGAAGCACTCTTACCCAATATTTTAATTTGAAATGAATTTTTTTTTTTTTTTTTTTTGAGTCAATATTTTTAATTTTGGATTTTTTTTTAATTATTACGTTAAAATAGGCGTCTTGCAAGTTATTACCCGTAAAAGTAAAAGTTGTTAATTACTCCCTTTAAAGCATCTGGATCAGGGAAAAAAAGGAGATCAGTGCTTTTGGTTTGCTTATTAGTGACATTCTTGAAATTGCAAAGAATTGTACTTTAATTAAGTTCTCCCTTATTGGTAGGAAGGGGAACAAGATTGCTCATTGCCTTGCTCACAAGGTATGGGGAGTTAAGGGTGAGGATTGAGGAAGTTCCTCATGAAGCACTTAACTTTGTAATCTCTGACTCTGCAGCTTTTGAGTATTTTTATCTCCTTTTTTATTTCAAAAAAAAAAAAAAAAAAAAAAAAAAAAAAAAGTCATTTTGGATCGGTAGGGTTCTAATCAGGTTAAAGTAGAAGTATGTCATGTGGAATTATTGTGTTATTGTTATTGAACATCAAATTTTAGATTAAGTAACTTCGGGTTAGGTCGGGTTGTTTTAGGTATTTCCTATTTTTGTCTCCTTGTGTTATTGCACATCACATTTTAGATTAACTTCGGGTTAGATCGGGTTGTTTTAGCTCTTGCCTATTTTTGTCTTCTCATGTTAGGGGTGCCAATTGAGGCAATTGATTCGAACACATTTGGATTCGGAATGTTAAGGAGCACGAGTTGAACAAGCTCTAACTTAGGGGTATCCATTCAATTTTCGGTTTGGATTTATCGATCCGATTCGAAATAAAATTCAATTTTAAATTTTCAAATCCATTTCAATTCGAATTTCTCACCGAATCCAATCCGAATAAAAATTCGGTTGTTTTTATAAAATAAATTATCAAGTCAAAGATAATATTATTAGAGACACACATTTTATATTATGACGGATTGTTTTAAAACAAATGCATTTACATATCCAATTTTTAGGTCATTGTTTTATCAGAAAATCCAAGTTCATCTCCGTGAAAAACAAATAATTTTAAGTGTAAGTTTTGCAGTAAAAATGGATAAAGTTGCTACTTGAAGTGACGTGTTGCCTTAAAACCACTATTTCTATGACAAATGAAATTTATTTATCACGGAGATTAATTGAGACGGCTTCTTGCTATTTTTTCAACTATGTGATTGATGTGTGAGTCTCAATTACTCCGTATGAACATTTTTCTTTAAACAGTCTCAACTATCGATTACTCCCTCTGTTTTTAAATACTTGCTCCATTTCTCAATGCGCGAGTTTTAGGATGAATTGGAGAAAGTAATAAAATATAGAGGTACTGGGGTAGGTCGGTGGTATAATAAAAATTGTAAAAAGCAAAAGTAGTTGAGAGAATTAGAGGAGAGAAAATATTAAATTAATAAAATATGATTTATGTTGGGTCCACTAATTGAGATAAATGAATTAAATATTGTAAAAGCTTTCCAAATAAGGAAATGGAGCAAGTATTTAAAAATGGCTAGAAATAAAAAGTAGAGCAAGCATTTAAAAAGGGAGGGAGTAACTCACAGCAGTCCAAACTTTGAGAGTGTCCTTAAAACTGTCCCTAACTTATAATGACAAATTAACAAGAAGATGGTGTAAAGGGAGGAGATGAGTGTTTAGAGTTGTAAACAAAACCTGGGGCATGCTCATGCCACAAACTAGTTTTACTTATTTCTTTTTCTTTTTTTTTTTTTCTTTTTTTTTTCCTTTTTTTTGACTAGTAATTTTTTTACTTATTTCATAAAAAAATATATTCAGACCATATCATAAAAAATAATTTCTAACACACTTTATCATTTTAATATTTATGAGTGGTTTTTGTATGCTAAATATTTTTAATTTCGTAATGAAAAAAATTATAAAAATTACATAGTAATATTGTACACGTTATTATGAATCTAACAAAAGTCAATATATTTCCCTAAAAAGAAAAAACAAAAGCCCATACTTTTTTCCTTATATATTATTACTATTTCCTTATATATTATTGTATACATAATGTCAAAGTTGAATCAAATCATAGAAGTTAATCGGATCAGATCAGACCAGATAAATCAAATCAAATTTGATCACATCATATTAGACTTGATCAAATAAGAAAAATAAGTTAAATTAAACCAGCCCTAACAAGGTCTTTAAAAAAAATAAAAAAATAAACAGCCCTAACAAGGTAACAAACCCAAAAGTAAAAGCTTAGAAATCAGTACCAAAAAAAAAAAAAAAAAAAAAAAAAGGCTGGAATTTCCATCTTCACGTACGAGTAAATTTGAGAGTGAAAGCTTAGAAATGGAAGACAACAACGGAAAGAATGCTAGAGGTGCTGAAGAAACGTATCTTCCAGATGAACTCATTACTCACCAAGTTCTTCCATGGCTTCCCATCAAACCCTTGATTCAATGTAAGTTAGTTTCAAAGGAATGGAATTCTATCATTTCACAACCTAATTTCATCCTTCTTCATTTCAATAAATCTATATTTAGTCACCCTTTTACCCCTGTTGAATCTCTCTTTATTCAATCTGGTGATTCTTTTTATCTTTACTCTTGTACTAATCATGATTATGATAATGTCCAAGTTGCTGAAAACAATTTGGTTAAATTAAAAGTTGATTTTGAATATGAACATATAGAATTAGAGAATGATGAAATTGAATTGGTTGGATCTTCAAATGGGTTGGTTTGTTTAAGTGGAAAAATTGGGAAATACTTTTATTTATATAACCCTAAAACTAACAAATCCCACAAATACTACCCTGGTGATTTTGATTATTGGAAATCTATTAGGCCAATACCCCAAACTAGTTGGGGTTTTGGGTATGTATCATCTGTTGATGACTATAAGGTAGTCAGGATAATTCCATATCAGAATGGAGAAGTTGCTGTAGTTCATGTTTATTCACTAAGGTCCAACGCGTGGTCGAAACTCGAATGTGGTTTGGAGGAGGGTGATATAATTATCAGTCGAGCACATTTAGTAAACGAGACTTTGTATTAAACCTGGGCACCGTGCCGGGCCGGGCCGCCGCGGGCCACGGGCTGGTTTGTGCCGTGCCCGTCGTGCCGGCAGGCCCAGGATTTCGTGTAGTGCCGTGCCGGCCATTTTCACAGCCAGCCCACGGCACGGCACGGCACGGCACGGCCCTCGTGCCTGGCGGGCTCGTGCCGGGCTGGCAGCGGGCTGGTGCAGTTTTCAAATATATATATATATATATATATATATATATATATATATATATATATATATATATATATATATATATTTTATATGACAACATTATAAATTAATAAGTTTATAATGTATATAAGTTATAAAATTATAATTATAAGTTTTATAAGGTTATAACTTATAAGTTTATAACTTATAAGTTATAAGTTATTAAGTTATGAATTTTATAATTATAAGTTGAATATTTATGTTTTATAATTTGTATATTCAATATTTATATTTATATATTTACTTTATACTATTACTTTAAAATTTAATGTTTATGATTTATTAGTAATTGGTATAATTTTTTTTTTTTTTTAATATGAATTTACAAATTGTAACAAAACGGGGAAAAAAGGCAAATTGGACTTTGGATGTGAATAATGCGTACTTTATATTATTATTACTTGAGTTGAGAAAATTGTACAATGATAACAATGATAAAAATCATACAATGATGGTATTAAACAAAAATTGGAAAATGATAAAATTGATATTTTTAAAATCGTACAATATACAATAATTGTCTATTCTTCTTCTCCTTCTTCTTGCTCGTCTTCGTCTTCGTCTTCGCCTTCGCCTTCAAGGTCATCGGCTAGTTGCATAGATTGGGAACTAGCCGAACCCGAACCGGAAGCGGAGGTTCCTTCTTCGTTGTCGTTGTGGTCGTAAGAACGGTCTTGTGAGCGATTTTCCGCATCCAACCAATCTTTGAAACACACGCACATTTCTAGTGTTTCGGGTTTTAGACTTGTTCTTCTATCGTCTAAAACCCTTCCGGATGCGCTGAAAGCTCGTTCGGAGGCGACGGAGGAAACTTGGATAGCAAGAATGTCTCGTGCCATTGCCGCCAAAGTTGGATGCTTCGAGCTTTGTTGTTTCCACCATGCAAGGAGGTCGAGGCTGTTTATCTCATCGTCGTCCATGCCTTTGGTGAAGTCGTAACTCAGGTACATCTGCAACTCCGAGACGTCGCTTTGCGTTCTCCTGGTTGATGAATCACCTGAAAACCTTGAAATCAAGTTAGTAGCTTGTGAAAATAAATGTTTGGCCTTCTTACTTACGTTTTTGGATGGTTGGGAAGGCCCTGAGCGAGGAACGGTGCCATATTTGGCTTCATAGACTCTATATAAAGCAAAAAACTGATCCTTCACATTAGTCTTATAGTTTTCTACATCATCGTCAAGAAACATGCATTGAAAGTAAATGTCAACTAACATAAATGTGTTTTCATACTTTTGCCTAGGATCTAATATGGAAGCAAAAATATAAATCAAAGGAATCTCACTATAATATTTACGCCACTTTTTTTCCATTGCTGGAAGATACTGATCATAATCACTTTGATGGCGATGATCAGCGAAAAGTTGGGCGAGTAAGCATGCATTAGAAAGAAAGTTTTGAGCACAAGGATTGTAAACAGTAGAAAAACAATACGTCATGTTATATAATAACTGTAAAAATTGCATATATCTTTCACAGTTATTCCAATCATCATCATACAAAGCATTTTGTGGAAATTTTTGGTTGTAAAATAATGTTAACGGGCCCTTGTACTCAATTGCCTTTGTTAACATGTCATAGGTGGAATTCCACCTAGTTGGGCAATCGGTTCTAATTTTTATTACCCTTATCTTTTGTTGTTTTAGAAAACTCTTCCATTCTTGGTATCTCATGTTAGAGCTATTAATAGACATAATAGCATCTCTGATTTTGCTGTAGTATGGGCCAATTGCCCGAACTCCATCCTGTACACATAAGTTAAGTACATGGCAAACACATCTAGTATGAAGAGCTTCACCGTCTAATAGTACATCGTTTAAGTTTTGTTTGATAAGATTAGTTGTGTATGTCATAGAGGTTGCATTATCAAAAGTCATAGACATCATTTTATCTCGAAGGTTGTATTCGTCTATTGCTTGCATTAAATGGTGAGCAATGTTAATGCCGGTGTGTGGGTATTCCAGCATTTTGAAATGTATTTTTCTTTTTTGTAACATCCATTGATCATCTACCCAATGGCAAGTCACGCATAAATAGTGATATTTATAACCACTATCCCAAGAATCGGCTGTTAAAGATACTCTACAGTTAAGGTTACTCAATTCGGCTTGTAACCGGACTTTGTACTCTAGGAAATTTTTCATTGTGGCGGAACGAACGGTTTTCCTAGAGATTCTTTTATGTTGGGGTTGTAGTGCTTTGTTAATGTAGGTGTTGAATGCGTCACTTTCCGAGAAAAGAAAAGGTTGTTCGGCGTGTACTATCATTTTTCCTAGTTCATCCCTATCCCTCTCATAGTTGTATGTAAAGCCGTATGGATGGAATTGGGAAATTTTGGGCTGGGTTGGATCACTAGCTGGTTTTGCACAAGCTTTCATGTGTCTAATAAGTGTCCCGTCCCGTTTTTGGTAACTGTCGTGAATACACTATTACATGTTTTACATTTTGCCCATTGTTCACCATCTTTACTTAGGACAAAATAACGCCATACCTCACTCCTTCGGTTTTTCAAAAGTAGCATCTCAGTTTCGGTTAACCATTCATGATGTGTGTGATGGTTAGTAGTGGGACTAGTGGGAGTGGCAGTAGAAGGGGTAGAACCGGAGGGAATTCGGGTACTTTCTTGGCTACCTTGGCTAGAACAATAGTTTTGTTGATCACCGATATAATTAGGTGGAAATTGGTATGGTGGTAGTGGAAATTGGTTTAGTGGTGGTGCTGGAAATCCCGACGTATTATATGGCTCATAGCCCGGGGGGAAGTAAATGGGGTCATTGGTTTGACTCATAATTTGGGGGCTCGTTGTATTTGGTGGTTCCCTAGAACTACTACTACGGATAAGTCGGCCTTTCCCCCTAGACCTAGATGATGGGTTGTTCGATGCCATAATTAACAATTAATTTTTTAATAAAAAGTGGTTAACTATAATAATAATAATTAATAACAACAATTTTAACAATAAAAATATCAATAATATTAATTAATAACAACTATAACAATAACAATAACAACAAAAATAAATAATAACAACAATTGTAACAATAATAATAATTAATAACAACAATTATAACAACAACAATAACAATTAACAACAATAATAATTAAACAAGATTATTCTAATAATAACAATAAAACAATAATAAATTTAAGATTAGTTTAGATCTTACAACCGTGCTTCAACGCTCCACTAATTACGATTACGAACTTTTTAATTTTTTTCCGATATTAGGAAAATAATTAGAGAATTTAAGAGAATAATTAGAGAATTTAAGAAAATAAGGATTATTAGAGATTTAGAGAATATAAGAGATAAGAAGAAGAGATTGTGATTTTGTGATTTGGGAATGAAATGGAGGTGAGTATTTATAGAATTTTTGGGGAGCAAATTGGCAAAAAACTAGTCGTTTTTTAGCCGTTTTTTTTGGCTTATTAAGGAGCTAGAATAAACGGTAACATTACCGTTGGCCCGCGGGCCGTGCCTACGGGCCGGCACGACGGGCCATGCCCGTGCTCGTGTCGGGCCGTGCCTGGGAATTCTCAACCCTGTCCGTGGCACGGGAGTTGAACTTCGTGCCGTGCCGTGCTTGAATTCGGGCCGTGTCGGGCTGCGCCGAACGGCGGGCCGTACCGGGCGGCACGCGGGCCAACCCGGCCCGTGCCCAGGTTTACTTTGTATTGGGGTATGATGAGTTGTCGAATTGTTGCCTTCGATTTGGCCCGGGAGACACTCGAGTTCTTCCCTCATTTGGGAACCATTCGTCCATTCAAGAATGCTTTATGTGTGATGGGAGGGTGCTTATTCAAGTACACTGCAAACTCTGTAGGTGATTTGTTTCTTGAGATTATGAAACATCCTGGAAAGCTGGCTTCTGTTCGTTTTTCGTGTGATTTGTATTTTGGGGATTTTAAGCAGTTGATCGGGTTCACAAAGGCTGGCAAAGTCTTTATTACTCGTTCTAATCCTGGGGTGCTTGGCTTGCTCGATCAATGTTCAAAGGAAACACTTGTAACGTTTGATGATCAGCTGTTACTTATTGAGAGTTATGTTCCTACCCAAAGTTCACCTCATCCTGCAGCTGAGCTGCCTAATGAACCTGCTGAGGTACGTTCTGCTTCTGTGTTATGTTTGTATTAGTTTCTCATGTCTTTTGAAGTTTTTAATTTTTAATATGTGATGCTCCAGCTTCATCCCTCATCTTCGTGATGAACATGCTACTTTACCTTGTATTTTAATTGATATAATGGTTTGTATTACAAATTCTTTAACTAGTCCAATACAAATGCATTGTGAAGGTAGTTGCTCCTATAGCATCACCTCATTTAAAATTTTGGATTTTAATATAATAGCAATGAATGTACTGGTTTGGTCAAAATAACAAAATTATTTGGCAGATTCTTGTTAAATGACTTTTAATGCATATGTTTTCTTCTTGTAAAGGGTCATATGAAGTGGTCGAACAAAGTTTACAAAACTACTATGTACTTAGATTTCTTATAAATGCAGCTCCTTTTGAATCTATCTATTGATCATCATTGTTTTAAAATAGGGGACTTGGCCGGAATATCAAGTTGTCCTCTAGTTTGATCAGACATGAAGTTCTCTATTGATCTAGGCAAGTGAAGGAAGTTGGTGATGGTGATGGTGAATTAGTGATGGTGGCATGAACTCACTTTGATGGAAGAAAGTATGGTGCTAAGGTGCAAAACTCAAATTTATGCTACCTCTGTTTTTGGTAGTTTATAAGTCTATATGTAAGATGTAACATTTTCTTATGCCGTGATCCATGAACTAGTAAATGCTAATGCTAATGCTAATGCTACAACGTGTAACTTTCGAAATTTGTGACTTTTGCTATGCCTTTGAAACTCTTTGCTATGCTAGTATGCTATGGATTTTGTGATCAATGAATTATGAGTACTATTGGTTCATCCAGTTCAAGTTTCCAATGCTATGTCCTGTTTATTGTGTTACTTGTATGTCTTATGCGTGTATTGTAGCCCTATCCTTTTCTTCACTTTCATCGCAGTAATATTTTAAACATGTTTACCAACAACTTCTTTTTCACATGACACTATTAATTGGTTAAACGGGATAAAAATATGTTAGGGACCGTCTTGACAAGGACTCCTAAAAATAAGACCTTTCAAAAAATACCGATCATAACTAGAACTAATGATATCAATTTTTCAGAATTTTTTTTCACTTACACAGTAACTTACTCGTAAGATTTTTGGCAATATGTTGGATTATTGGGACAAATGAAGTAGGATTATCAATTTAGATTATTGGGACAGATGAAGTAGGATTATCACCGGATATCTGATCCGCATACTAATATTGAAATTTTGGTATTTCTTTTGGTAAAATGCCCTTGATTTGAGTTGTTTTAAATCTTATATTTTATGAACTTTCGTAATAATTATAAAAAATTTAAATAAATGCTACAAATTCAAGCACAACGATACAATAAGGTTCACTTGATTATTAAGGCAACTAAAAAATACTTGTAAAAAAAAAAAAAAAATCACTTCCTTAAAATCCAAGATACAAATACAGTATTACATTATAATTAGAGCTAACATTCTAAGTGGGAGTTTGTTGCATATTAGTTAATTTTTTTTATAATTTTTTTTATATTGAAAAATCGGATGGGATCAGATATCCGATTTTTCTAGATTCGTGATTCGAATCTGATTCGAAAATTTTCGGTTATCCGATCCGAAATATCCGAAATCGAAAAAACCGGATCGGATATCTAATTTTTCGGGTCGGATCATTTGGATCGGATTTTTTGCCCACCCCTAATTCTTTCATGGTTTCCCATCCCTTAACTCAATGTAAGTTAATTTCAAAACAATGGAATTCTACCATTTCACATCCTAATTTCATCCTTCATCATTTCAATAATATTATATGTAGTCACCCTTTTACCCCTCTTGAATCTCTCTTCATTCAATCTGGTAATTCTTTTTACCTTTACTCTTGTGCTAATCAAGATTATGATGATGTTGATTATGTTGCCGAAAACAATTTGGTTGGATTAAATGTTGAATATTAAGTTGATGGTATGGATGATGAGATTAGATTGGTTGGATGTTCAAATGGGTTAGTTTGTTTTGGTGGAAGAAATGGAAAATACTTCTATTTATATAACCCTAAAACTAACCAATCCCACAAATACTACCCTGGTGACTCTGATTTTTGGAAATCTAATTGGTCAAAACCCATAACTTGTTGGGGTTTTGGGTATGTATCATCTATTGATGACTATAAAGTGGTTAGTATAATTCCATATTGGAATGGAAAAGTTGCTATGGTTCATGTATTTTCACTAAGGTCCAATATTTGGTTGAAACTCGAAATTGATTTAGAGGAAGGTGATTTTATTATCAGTCAAGCAAGGTTAGTTAATGAGACTTTGTATTGGAGAATATGTGGTGGTCGAATCGTTGCCTTCGATTTGGCCCGGGAGATATTTGAGTTCTTCCCTCATTTGGGAATCAGTCGTGGAGTTAAGAATGAGTTATGTGTGATGGGAGGGTGCTTGTCCAAAGTTCAAATCCTCAAAAAGATAAGTTTTGAGCCTCTAACTATACCATTCTTCTGCCATATACATATAGTATCAACCGTGCACAAAAAAAAAAAAAAAAAAAAAAATCATGCATCCCTAGTACAATATACATAAGAGGGCTACAAATTAAAAAATTTCAAGTTATTAAAATTACATTATACACCAAATTGAAGAAAAGGCTCACCTAAACATAATTTGCAACTTGCTTCTTCACTTTCACTGTTGATCCACAATCACCTTTATGCAAATTAAAAATAACAATTTTGTCAAATTTGAAAAACAAATTGATCATGCATAATAACATAAATGAAACTTAAATATGAATACATATATAGTGGAATGAAAAATAGAAAGGAACTTAGTAATTCAATAGTGTGGGTATATGAACAATTAACTTCCCTTTATAAAAAAACACTAATCTTTCATAAAAAAAAATAATAAAATAAAATAAAAAACCACTAATTTTGGGTTTAGCATCCTTGTATTTACATTATTAAAACGAACTGAAGTGACACCGTTGTAAGTTAGAGAACACTTTTTTCACACAATTTTTTTTAAATAACGATTAAACTTAAATCTACAGTTAGTTTGAAAAAAGTTACTCCCTCCGTGTTTTAATAAGTGTTACACTTACCAAATCTGGTCGTATTTTAATAAGTATTACACTTTCTTTTTTGGCAAAAAACTACCTTTAAATATTATATCTCTCTCCTCTCATAGTCTCCACCCAAACCCACTATTACTTTTTTTATTATTATATACTTCTTCTCACATTCATTACTTTTCAATAAACTATTAACCCCACTATCTTTCTTTTACAGTTTTTCAATACTCCAACTACCCCACTTACCTCTTATTTTATTTAAGTCAATTAAATTGCCTAAAACTATGTGCCGGTCAAACTGTAACACTTATTAAAACATCCAGGGAGTAGTTCTTTCTTTCTTTCTTTCTTTTTTTTTTTTTTTTTTTTTTGGGGGGGGGGGGGGCTTGTAAAGGCATGAGATTAATTTTTTTGTTAAATATTTTTTTTAATCAGAAAAAACAGGAAGAAGATAGGTGTCCTTCCAACTTCCTATTTTAAAAATAATAGTATAGATTTAATTGAAAGGCTTTAATTTAAATATAAAATTTAAAATATTAATAGTTAAAATTATGCAAGTTGGACAAAGTTAAACAACTACTCTATATATAATAAAGTGAAAGGATAATATTCTATTTAGATTAATAACTAGGTTAGTCCCACGATTTTAAATTTGATCAAAATTTTGAATGGGGAAATAAAATTAAACTTCTCAATATCTATTATTCTCTCTGTAAGGGTTACGTTTGTCCTTTTTGGCTTTCTTTTTAATGGTTGCATTTCATTTTATTTTATTTTTTTACCACATTTCCCTCATGTATACATATTTTCCATGCAATTATCCTCATTTATAAAAATATTTACATACTCCCAATGTAAATATTCCTATTTACAAAAATATTTACCACTTTCAAAGCAAAAATTTCTAATTTCAAAGTTAATTTGAGGAAAACTGGAATACTTTGACCTTAAATATCATGACTCAAAATTCATTCCTCCGAAAAACTAAATGCTTTTTGGGTTCGTTTGGCATTGGTGTTGTTTTCTGTTTTTTTTTTTTTTTTTTTAATTTTCAAAATTATATGATATATTGTATATAATGGATAAAAAAATTAGAGAAATCTATTAAAATCTAATATATATAAATAAAATAAGCATTTTTGGAGAGCATTCGAAGCGCCACCTAAGAAATATACTTATTTCGACCAATCAGAAGAAAGATTTGTATTTTATTTTTGAATTGAATTAAAAAAATTATTAAAAGTAACGAATTAGATTTGATATATCTAAAATTTTAATGCCACGTAGATTATAATCCACGAATTAAATTATTTTAATGAAAAAAACTAAAGTAAAAATATAGGAAAAGATAAATTTATTAATTCAATACTACGAGTATAAGAAATCCAAAAAAAAAAATATTAAGAAATATTTAAATGATAAACGCTTATATTAAGTTTGATACCTATCATTATAAGATAAATTTTGATAGTATTTATGATAAGAAATACAAATTGTTCGTTAATTATAATTAAATTAAAATTTGTGATATCTACCATTATAAATTAACACATCATACGATACAAACAAAATTTTGTATTAATAAAAAACCCCATCAAGCGAATTTTGTGTTAATTTTTGGTCATCAAAGGCCGGATAATTTTTAGCTTAATTTTTAATCCTATGTTTAAATTAGTAATTCTATGTTTACCAATATTTTTAAAACAATGAATAGTATTTCTATTTAAACATAGGATTTTAATTTATATCAAACGAGGTTGGTGATTCTACCGAAATAAAAGATTTAGTAAAACAATGAATGGTGATTTAGGATATAAATTATTAAAAATTTATCATTTTATATTATAGATATTATATAACGGAAAAAATATCATATTTAAAATTTATTTATATTTAATAAATTCATTATAAATTATAGTAAAAAAAAATAAAATATTAAACTTTGGTAATTTTGTATGATATTATTAAATACAATAAATCAAATAATTAAAAATCTTAGATGAAAAAACCGTGTATCGCACGGGCTTTCATCTAGTTATATTAATTTTGAAAACTGATAACAAAATAGTGAAAACACCTTTTTCTTGTTTCCTACTTTTAATTTTTTATTTAAAAAAAAAAAAAAAAAAAAAAAAAAAAAAAAAAAAAAAAAAAAAAACTGAAAATAAAAAACGATGAATAAGCCCTAATTTTTTATCTTTTTTTAAGGGAGTAAATGCTTACTTTAAAACTCTAAAGAAAAGCAGTTTTCTTTTTCGGAGTTCATTCTTCAAACTACTGGTATTTCAAACAGTACAAGTGAGAGAAATGGAAGAAAGCGATCAGAACAACAGCAAGGAAACAATGAAAGATGTTGAAGAAAGACATCTTCCAGATGATATCATAACTCAGCACATCCTTCCATGGCTTCCCCTCAGACCTTTAATCCGATGTAAGCTAATTTCAAAGCAATGGAATCGTAATGTCAATTTCTTCCTTGATTATATCAAACCATCTATATATAGTCCCCCTTTTACCCCAATTAAATCCCTCTTTATTCAATCTGGTAGTAAATTTTACATTTATACTTGCAATAATCATGATCATGATGATGTTGATGTTGAATATATTCATGTTAGTGAATATAATTTGGTTGAATTAAATGCTGAATTTGATGTTGGTAAGAGGGAAAATATTGGATTAGTTGGATCGTGTAATGGTTTGGTTTGCTTAGGTGAAATATATGGAAAATATTTCATTTTATGGAACCCTGCTATTAATCAATTTCATAAGTATTTTTTGTTTTCGAAACATCACTTTCATAAATATTACTTGGAATATTTGGAGCAAGATTCTAAAGAAATTTGTTGGGGGTTTGGTTATGTATCCTCTATTCATGATTATAAGGTGGTTAGAATCTCTCAGTTCCGGTTTCAGGCCAAGGTCGATTCAGTTCATGTGTTTTCATTAAGGACTAACAGTTGGAGTAGGATTGAATTTGGTGTTGGTGAATGTAAACTAGTGGGTCGATCAAGGTTGGTTAATGAGACTTTGTATTGGAGAAAGGAGAATGATAATGTTAATGGGGGTGTGCAAATCGTTTCGTTTGATTTGGGTCTTGAGACTTTTGCTATGTTACCTGATTTGGCTATTCGTGCACCCGGGAATGCTGTCTTAGGTGTAATGGGAGGGTGCTTATCCGTGTGTGTTCTCAGCTCTGATACTGATTTAGTGATACACATTGTGAAACAACAAGGAAGAGTGGTTAAGGTTTGTTATTCTGATTTGGGCAAGACCGATAATAGTTTCAATGATTTGATCGGGTTGACAAAGGTTGGCAAGATATTCGTTGTTTATCCTGGTTGCTTTGTGCCATGCTTGATTGTTTCAAGTTCAAAGAAATCAATTGTGACATTTAAAGCTAATGGAAGACATCGGAGCAATTATATGGACAGTTATGTTCCGAGTCTGGTTTCACCTCTTCCGCAAGTGGAATTGACTAATGCATTAAGACAGGTACCCTCCATGACCTTGCCTTATATTTGTTCAGTATGACCTGCTTCCTTTACTTCATTGTCTTGTTGTAGTTCATGACTTTTTGGGTCTGGTACCAAACCTTTGTTGTTGCAAACAACATTACAGCTTAACAATTGCAGGGTTTGGATCGAGTTGATGTAACTTAACTGTTTAAGATTGTTTCTAACAGCAGGTTATTTTTATTTGGTGAGGCAGGTTGCGTAGACAGTTGGCTGCTGTGGCGGTTTCTGTGGAGATGTGAATTCAATGACGCGACTGACCTCTGTTTTGGACTGAAACGAACTCTTTGCTGATGTGAATTTTTAGTGGTTTTGTTAGGAATTTAATCTATCAACCTCTGCTTTGAGCTATGCAACCTTATGTTTATATCAATGATCCATGGAGTATATGTGTAAATGATGTTGTGAATGTTAATGGTATGAGTTGTATGAATTAAGATATAGTGCATGAAAAAGCATATAAATTGTACGTCCTCCACCCTATTATTGTTTGGCTGAAACCGCTGAATGAAGTTGATAAGATAAAAATTTGGTAGGACCAAATGTAATGAATGTGAGATCAAATCTACGGACTTTTCATTCTGATCGTTTATAATATGAGACTAAATAAACAAACCAAAAAAAATATTGGGTTTTTCTATATAGTAAACCTGTTAATTTCACTTTTCTACGTTGTGTTCCAACTTATATGACTTATGACACTGTAACCCAATATACATTTTGTTTTCATACAGTAACCTTGCCGTTATTCTGTCGTTAAAAATTCTGTTATGGGGCCCACTCTCTATTTATTAATTTTTTTTTTATCGATTTGCGCGTTGAAAAACCTTCCGTTAAAGGGTTTGGGGGCTATTTTAGTCTTTAAGGGTCCAAATTAAGCTCAGATTTCACAAAAAAGTAATGTAAATGCCTCGTTTTGCTTATAAAAACGTGAACACGTAAATCGAGATATTTTTAATAAGCAACACGAGGCATTTACATTACTTTTTTGTGAAATCTGAGCTCAATTTGGTCCCTTAAGAACTAAAATAGCCCCCAAAACCTTTAACGAAAGGTTTTCCAACGCGCAAATCGATAAAAAATATTAATAATGGAGAGTGGGCCCCATTAACGGAATTTTTAACTGCGGGATAACGACAAGGTTACCATATGGAAACAAAATGTATATTAGGGTTACAGTGTAGAAAGTGATATAAGTTGGGGCACAACGTAGAAAAATGAAATTAACAGGGTTACTATATAGAAAAAGCCAAAAATATTTGAATAAGTAGGGAAGTAGGAATATCACGAATATGGTAAAAATAAAATCTAAAAAGTCATCAATTTGACTAATATATTTGTCAATACTCAACTTTTATGTTCATTGACTAATATCGGATTATAGAGTATGTAAATATTGAAAAAGTCAAAGTTGTGTATCTAAAAATTATAATTACAATGAGCATTGAAACGAATCTAATAGCCTAAAACAATAAAATTTACAACATTAAATCCGAAAAATATCTTCTCTTTTTGTTAATAGATCCTCAACTTCACCTTCATTGCCGATGACCAAAATTATGACAAAATTCTGAATCCCCAATTATTTTTCTCAATTTCTAATTATAGCTATGAATTTCTATTTCTCTCTAAAATTATTATTATTTTTTTAAATAGTCTCTCTCCAAAAAAAAAAAAAAATAACTAAGGGTGTGTTCTATTCACCTGATTTTTACTAATCTGAACTTATTTTATTTATCTATTCACCTGATTTTTACTAATCTGAACTTATTTTATTTATCTAAACTAGCCTGAACTTATGTGAAAATAAGGACCCTAAGTATGGATAATTTTAAAATTTACAAAAATAAATGAAGAGATAAATATGTCACATTCTTTCCAATCCCTTAAAAATAGGATCCCAACCATCAGAATATTTCGATTTTTTTTTTCACAAATTTCGATTTTTAAAAAAAAAAAAAAAAAAAAAAAAAAAAAAAAAAAAAAAAAAAAAAAAAACTATACAATTTCCAGTTTCTAGTAAGTACAGTAAAAGTGTTAAACAAAGAGTCAAAGAGCAAAACAAAATGTATAAATTTGTTCAACAATTGAGAGTGAAAGTTTGAAGACTGATGAAGAAATCAAAAATGGAAGACAATGAAAATGATGAAAGCCAAATACATCTGCCTGATGATCTCATCGTTCATTACATCCTTCCATGGCAGCCCATCAAACCCTTAGCTCAATACAAGCTTCTTTCCAAACAATGGTATTTTTCTCTTTCTTCTCCCAATTTCATCCTTAATTACACCAATTTACCCCTTTATTCTCACCCAATTCCCCCAATTAAATCCTTGTTTATCCAATCTGGGAACTCTTTTTACCTTTATTCTTGTGATAATCTTGATGATAATGTTGTTGAAGTTGATAGAAATACTGAGGATTATTTGATTAAGTTGAATGACTATGACTTTGATGTTGGAAATGATGTGGTTAATTTAGTAGGATCATGTAATGGGTTGGTTTGTTTAGGTGAAATTTATGGTAATTACTTCATTTTATGGAACCCTAGTGCTAATCAATCCCATAAATATTTCTCTGAAGTTTTGGACACTTCTAGTTGTGATTGGCCTCCTCACATTCGTTGGGGATTTGGGTATGTTTCGTCAATGGATGACTATAAGGTTGTGAGATTAATTCAGTACCAGATTGGATTGCTCGTTGATACATTTGTTCATGTGTTCTCACTAAGAGCTAACACATGGAAAAAGATTGAATTTGATCTTGTTGATTGCTCGTATGTTTTAATAGAACGACCGCGGTTGGTTAATGAGACATTGTATTGGACTGCTAGTCGTAATCCCTATGGGAACATGAAAATTGTTGCCTTTGATATCGCTAGTGAGACGTTTGATATGTTCCCACATTTGGCTATGCTTTCGCCGTTGGGTGTTGTGTTATGTGTTATGGGAGGGTGCTTGTCTAAGTGTGTTGTTAGATATCAAAATGAGTGGGTGATAGACATTGTGAGAGGTCCTGGAAGGGTATATCCTCTTCATCTGAATTGTGACTTGGGACGGTTTGATGACTTGATTGGATTCACAATGAGCAATAAGGTTCTTGTAGCTTATACTAGTCCCAACATGCTGGGCTTGGTTGATCTAAGCTTGGTTGGTTTAAGTTCAAAAGAATCACTTGTGAAGTTTAGATATGAAGGGAGAACTCGAATTGAGAGTTATGTTACAAGTCAAATTTCTCCTCATCCTTAGGTAACATCTATATCCTTGCCATTTATTTGCTTATTACTCCGTAGTAAGAAGTAATTTACTACTATGCTTTATTAGTTCTGTATCTTGATGTGTAATGCAAACCTTTTTTGGTTCTTGGCCACGAAACAAAGCTTATTAATTGTTGAGTTTGGTGTTCCATAGTTGAAATTTTTTCACCAAATATGTACTAGTATTAAGTTTCTTCACCAAATATGTATTGTGAAGATTACTATGGAGTAGTAGAAAGCAATAATTTCCCAAATTATAAGTATATAGCGGCATTGTTTCACTTAATATTTCTAACAGCAGATTCTTCTAATTTTGTGAAGCAGGTGGCATGAATTCTTCTTGATAGAAGATTGTTTGAGCCAATATGAGAAACTCAACGAGTTATGCTATCTTTATCCTTAGACAGGGAAGTTTTAACTGGTATAATATCATCAACCTGTGTGATTATTTTTTGGTATCCTATGATCCATGAAAATGTTGTCGATCCTTTGACTTGTAATATTTACATATAACTTTGATGGTTAGAACCACCTCTTTGTTTTGGCTCATGTTACTTTTTCTATGCAGTTTATTTATGCCACTCAACGGTACTCTTTAATCACTAAGGGGATGTAATAACTGTTGATGTAGAATCCTTACTAATTTACTAATGATTTTAGGGTATTTGAATTTCTGTGGTATTTCATGTGTATCCTTCTTCTATGATCTTAACTAGAGCACCTAATCTAGGCTGTTTTAATTTACATGGCATTTCATGACTTTATAAAAAGTTTTTTTTTATAGGTTATATGCTTGTGAGCTCAGATTCTAAGCTTGCAATTTACTCTTGCTTCACTTAGTGTCAACCAAACAACAGTATATCATGTTCCTAGAAAGTTCACTAGGGAATTTAACTCCTCTGTGGCTATGTGAGCTAAACAAGCAGTCAAGCATTTAAATTGTTTTGCAATTAAAATTGAAATGGAAGACTTGGGTGGATGAGGTGGAAGGGCAAACGGCATACCATTTAATAAAGGTGATCATGGGCTTTTAGGCGAAAAAAGTTGGCTCCATTCGGACCAAAGATTTGGGTCGGACAGGTTAGGCTACTTATGAACTTATGATTATTGATCAAGCCTACTACTTTAAATTATGGATTAGGCTTTCCAACATACACCATTCCACATAATAAAAATATTCATGTTTACTACCTCTAAGATTTTAATTATTGCACCACTAGTCTTTTAAGGAAATTTCACAAATATTGCATCATATCCATTTAAGGAAACAAAATATTCAATATACTCTTACTTTTAACACTTGATCCTTTGGTTTATGCTTATATCACATGGTTAATTTTGTAGTTTTTAAATTTTAACCGTATTTTTCAAATTGCATAATAAATTAATTACACAGCTTAAGTTTTACCACTTTGAGGATGTCGCACATCACGTGTCATTTACTCCTTCCGTCCCTTACCTACATGCCTACTTTCCTTTTTGGAGGCTTTAAAACTGCATGCCTATTTCTATTTAAATAATGTACTTTTTTTTACAATATTCCCTCTTTTTGATGAGTTGTCATCAATTTTCTTTTATTTTTTTGTACTTTTGACATCATTTTCCAACACTTTTTCTATCTATCTCTTCAATAGTTACCAACTACCTTTCCTTTCTCTTTATCTCTCTCTAACCCCACATGCACATTTGTACTTCTCAATCATGGGTTTTAAGGAATCTTTAAAGTAACAAATATTGAAAGTAAAAGGAGGAAGTAAATATTGAGGATAGATTAATATTAATTACACCAATTTACGCGTGATTTTGTCATGATTTCCCAACTTAATTCCATTTTAGGATGTATATTTGGGATACGTTTTGTTTACCTTATTTTTACTTATTTCAAGCCTAATAATTTCAAATAAGTTAAGTTCAGAAAAAATAATTTCTGATAAAGGTTGCTCTAGTTCAAATTACAACTAAAATAAGTTACATAAGATCTAATAAGTTTAAAAAAGTTCAAATAAGAATATATAAGTTCAGATAAGTAAAAATCAGGTGAATAGAACACATCCTTAATGTTTATATATAGTCTTAAAGGCTACATATATCATTACCCTTAAAAGAAAATATATGAAGTACATGCCTTTTTATCATTTAAGTAGCGAATTTAAATTTAACTAGTATTTAACTTGTGCGATGCACGGATTATATAATTCGGTAAAAAAAAAAAATCAATTGAAGACTTGTTATATTCAATATTTATATTAGTCAATAGTAAAATGAAATTGTATTATACAAAAATGTAGTAGTAAAATGGCTTCTATTCTCCAAAAAACAATGTTAAAAAAATAAATAAAAGCATACCAATAAGAGTGGGACACGTAACAACGTATATTGTTTGCAAAAGTTCTTGCTACTAAATATTAGTATAGATTTAAATTTATAATTTTTGCTAGTGTGAGATTAAAGATATTTGCGATCAAAGACTGCAACGATTGTTCGCAGTAAGACAATCACATGAACAACGGGAAATGATTTTGGCACACCCAAATTGATTTTGGCACACATAAGGCCGATAGGGGTGTGTCAAAATCAATGAGTGGTGTGCCAAAATCAATTTTCATGAACAACTATGTGAGTATCAAGACTTTTAACTTCCAATCATGGGAATACACATAAAATTCATAATTTCACTTTTGGCAATGTAAATTCATATTGTTCTTCAAGTACCCATAATCTTAATAATTCCACAAATAAGAATAAATACAGACTTAAAAATAAAATACTTAACACCCTAATTTTTCTAAAAGGTTAGTTTAATCCACTAAAAACAAATTATGTAGTACAAAGGTTTCTAAAAAACCCAAATCAACATACAAATGATAAATCCATTAGGCTTCAACTATCAAATAATATTGAAAACACCACAAAGATATCCCAACAGAATGTACAAATTAAATCAAAAAAATAAATTTGCCAGTGAATCATCGAGAATTACAAAAAGTCTCAACTGAGATAAAATGAAACCATTAAAACAAAACAACACGGATAATCAAAATGAAACAACAAGTAACCCAATTAAAATGATATAATACCCAATAATTTGATCATTAACCAAATACAGAGTATTTTTCTGAATTAACCACAAAATTTACATCTTCTTGAACTAAATAATAAATTTTTAATTCATGGGAACAATAAAAACAAAACAAATAAACAAAACTATACTATTATTTTAAAACAGGAAGTTGGAAGACACGTGTCTACTTCTTGTTTTTTCAGATTAAAAAAAATATTTAACAAAAAAAAAAATTAATCTCATGTCTTTATAAATACCTTAATTTTCAAACTAACTATATTCATGAAAATTAATCATGCCCTTACAAATACCTTAATTTTCAAACTAATTTTATACATGAAAATTGATCATGTCAAAAAAAAAAAAAAAAAAAAAAAAAAAAAAAAAAAAGAAGTTTTTTCAAACTAATGTGTGAAAAAAAAATTGTATGAAAAAAATGTTCTCTAACTTACAAAGGTGTCACTTCAGGTCGTTTTAAAAATGTAAATATAGGATGTTAAATCCAAAATTAGTTTTTTTTTTTTTATTTATTTAATTTTTTTTTATTTTTTTTTGGGGGTGAAAGATTTGTGTTTATTTATAAAGGGAAGTTAATTGTTCATAAACCCATCACCCTATTGAAAATAGTAAGTTCTTTTCTACTTTTCATTCCACTATATATGTATTTATATTTTAAGTTTCATTTATGTTATTATGTATGATCAACTTGTTTTTCAAATTTAACAAAATTGTTATTTACTTTGCACAAAGGTCATTGTGAAGATTGAAGCGGGCTGCAAATTATGTTTAGGTGAGCCAATTTTTTCAATTTGGTGTATAATGCAATTTTAATAACTTGGAAAATTTTAATTTGTAGCCCTCTTATGTATATTGTACCGGGGAATACATGATATGTGGCAGAAAAATGGTATAGTTAAAGACTCAAAACTTATCTGTCTTATAAGTCACAATATTGCATATGGCAAAAGGAAAAAAAAGATATAGAAACCTTACATATATGCAATGCATATTATAGAATACTAATGATTAGAGAGAGTTAAAGAATATTAATATTGAAAAATAAAACTTGCAAGTTTGACTAAACAACTTTAAGATGCAGTTTTTCACAATATGACAAACGTTTAATTTTTTTTATTTTTTTTTTTGTAAAAGTTTTGATAGACTTTTAACTATGTTTTACTTTTAAAATACTTTTTTTTTATTAGTTCTTTTAAAATACGGAGTTCTTATTTAACACTACTATTAAAATATTTTTTATGGAGTACTATTGTTATATTTTTGAAATACTAAGCAAAAATACAAATACAAAAATAATTATTATAAAACATTAAACAGCCGTACGTCGCACGAGTTCAAGACTAGTTTATTATAAAACAAAAATTATTATTATAAAACAAAAGCATACCCAACTATCTAGACTATCACCTAGACTTTCAGATTAAGCAATTGCGTTGTTCCAGCAATTATATCAAATGATTAAAATGACTAACTTCATGATTGCAGAGCAATACAGTGAAAAATACTCATCAACGCCGACGCAAATACAACCTTCTGGGTGGAATTGAATTTATTCAATTCAGCGAAATCAAATATGTGTATATTTCAAATTTCGAATTTGGTGAATCTTCAGAGTGGGTACATAAAAATTGACTTAAAATATGAGAAATTAAGGGCGATTTGAATCAGGGAGATCGTTTGGAGGGGATAGAAAGAGGATTGACCAAGTAATAATGAATAAATGGAAATCAATTTATTTATAAATTTTGAATACAAAAACTGAAGAAGATAGTGTCGTTTGAGAATTTTGCAACAGGTTTTTTTTGGATAGGCTGAACAGGAATGATGATTAACGAAGTGTTGTTTGGGAAGAAAAAGAGGATAAAAAAACAAGAATGATGATTAACGAAATATTTTTTTTATCCTAAAAAACATGGAGATGACACGTGTCCTTCCTACTCCTCGTTTTAAAATAATAGTATAGATTTTTCAATTTCTTTTATGTATATACTAGATGGAAGTCTTTTAGACAAAATTACAAAAGTTTAATATTTTTTTTTTACTATAATTTATAATGAATTTATTAAATATAAATAAATTCTAAACATAATATTTTTTCCGTTATATAAAATCTTTAATGTGAAATGATAAATTTTTAATAATTTAAATCCCAAATCATTATTCATTGTTTTACCATATCTTTTATTTCGATAGAATCACCAACCTCGTCCACAACCAACCTACTACATCAATGGATAAATTGAATAGTGAAATATTAGCCAAACTGAAATTGATATAAATTAAATCTTTACATTTATATCAAATCTATGCATTGTAATTTTTTCATCATCTCCAAAAATAACCAAAGTCATCCATATATTAAGTATGCAACATTTAATCGTATGCCATTACATAAACAAATAATCTTTAAGTATCCTAAACAAATACAATGTAACTAATAATTACAAATATAAATTTAAACATAAAACTTTAAAAATTATCCGGACATTGATGACCTAAAACTAACACAAAATTCCTAACACAAAACTCGCTTGATGGGGCTTTGTATTGATACGAAATTTTATTTGTGTCGTATGATGTGTTAGATCTGCATGTAAAAAAACATTTAGTAAATAAAACATAAACATATAATCGTTGAGTATCCCAAATCAATACAATGTAAGTAATAATTAGAAATACTAATTTAAACATAGGATTTTAATAATTAAGCTAAAAATTACCCGGCCATTGATGACCAAAAATTGACACAAAATTACTAACAAAAATTTGCTTGATGAGGTTTTTTTATTGATACGAAATTTTGTTTGTGTCGTATGATGTGTCAATTTATGGTGGTAGGTATCACAAATTTTAATTTAATTATAATTAACGAACAATTTGTATTTCTTATCATAAATACAATCAAAATTTATCTTATAATGATAGGTATCAAACTTTATTATAAGCGTTTATCATTTAAATTTTTTTTTAGTATATTTTTTTTGGATTTTTTTATACTCGTAGTATTGAATTAATAAATTTATCTTTTCCTATATTTTTACTTTATTTTTTTCATTAAAATAATTTAATTCGTGGATTATAATCTACGTGGCATTAAAATTTTAGATATATCAAATCTAATTCGTTACTTTTACGTAGGTGGCGACATAATTTTTTTAATTCAATAATAAAATACAAATCTTTCTTCTTATTGGTCGAAATATATTTCTTACGTGGGGCGCTCTCCAAAAAAGCCTACTTTATTTATATAATAATATTAGATTAGATTTAATATTTTGTTTTATTTCCAAATATCTCATTTACTTTTCAATAAATTAGATGGGTGAAAAAGATATTAATTCTTGAACTTTTTTTTTTTTTTTTCTTTAAGGAATTAATTCTTGAACTTTTACAACCACCACATTGTTAAATTATTGTGGTCATCGTGAAAATAAAACTTTGACCTCCTTTTCCCAAAACAAAATTTATCAACGTTACTTTGAAAACATAAAATGAGGCAGTTTTCTTAATCTGATTAAACAGACCTCATTCTTGAAACTAAACGCAAACAAGTGAGAGAAATGGAAGAAAGCGATAAGAACAACAGCAAGAAAACAAGAGAAGATGTTGAAGGAACTCAACTTCTTGATGAAATCATAACTCAACACATTCTTACGCGGCTTCCCCCCAAACCGTTAATCCGATGTAAGCTAATTTCAAAGCAATGGAATTTTAATGTCAATTTCTTCTTGGATTATATAAAACAATCTATATATAGTGACCCTTTTACCCCAATTGAAACTCTCTTTATTCAATCTGGGAAAACATTTTACCTTTATACATGCAATAATCATGATAATGATGATGTTGAGGTTGAATATGTTCGTACTAGTCAATATAATTTGGTTGAATTAAAGACTGGTTTTCGTGTTGCTAGGAGGGAAAGTATTGGATGTGTAGGATCATGTAATGGGTTGATTTGTTTAGGTGAAATGCTTGGAAAATATTTCATTTTATGGAACCCTGAAATTAATCAATTTCATAGATATTACTTCGAATTTTTGGAGCAAAATTCAAGGGATATTTGTTGGGGGTTTGGTTATGTATCTTCTCTTGATGACTATAAGGTGGTTAGAATCTCTCAGTTCCGGTTTCGAGCCAAGATCGATTCAGTTCATGTGTTTTCATTGAGGACTAACACTTGGAGTAGGATTGAATTTGGTATTGGTGAATGTAGATTAGTGGGTCGATCAAGGTTGGTTAATGAGACTTTGTATTGGAGAAAGGAGGATGATAATGATAATGGGGATGTACAAATTGTTTCCTTTGATTTGGGTCTTGAGACTTTTGCTATGTTCACTGATTTGGCTATTCGAGCACCCGAGAATGCTACCTTATGTATCATGGGAGGGTGCTTATCCGTTGGCGTTCGCAACTCTGATGATGATTTGGTGACACACGTTGTGAAACGTCCGGGAAGGGTGGTTAAGGGTTTTTATTCTGATTTGAGAGACACTGTATTTGATGATTTGATCGGGTTGACAGAGGCTGGCAAGATATTTGTTGTTTATCCTCGTTGCTGGGTGCCATGCTTGGTTGTTTCGAGTTCAATGAAATCAATTGTGACATTTGAAACTAATGAAAACCTGGGGAGCACTTATATGGCGAGTTATGTTCCGAGTCAAATTTCACCTCTTCCTCCTGTGGAGTGTGGAGTTGCCCAATGCTTTAGAACAGGTACCTTCTATGCCTTTGCCTTTTATTTGTTCTGTTTTACCTGCTTCCTTTAGCTCATTGTCTCAATTTAGCTTATGACTTTCTCGGTTTTGCTTTTGTGCTGTGGCGGTGTCTGTGGAGATGTGAAGCTCAATAACTTAACTGACCTCTGATTTGAACTATGAGACTCTTTGTTATGTTAAGAACATCCTCTCTTTACTCCTTGCTTTAAATATGTTAAAAGTGTATAATTTATTTGTTAAGACTAATATCTGTTTTGAGCTATTTAACTTTATGTTTATCAATGATCCATGATGGAATGAAATCAATGAATTTATGTGTTTAAATGATGTTCTAAATTGTTATGGTTTGAGTTGCATGGAGTAACTTTGTTTATTACTTGTTACAGACCATGATGTGTCTTATGCATATATTTTTAAATAGTATAAGCTTTTATGGCTGTGACTTGTTATTTGGAGTGATTTGAGCTATTTGGTTTAAGTACATTTGGGTCGAATTATATTTGATTGAGTAGTTATTCCGTTCAGATTAGGTAACTCTTGGATAGCCAAATAACTAATTATGGGATATATAGATCTATTTCAGCAAATTAATTTCGTGAAACTTTTATCAAGGGCCATAGGGGGTATTATATCTCATTGAAATTAGGCATGATTCAAATACGAGTCTTGTGAGGGTTCTACTAGAAGGTGATCAGGATTCATATAGGTTTGGGTCTTGTCATCAACTCTACGATGAGAATGTCATTTTGGATTGCAAAGGTCTCTATTTGAAAAGATGCGAAGATATCTAAAATTACTGCTTGCGGTGTAAAGTTTGAAGCAATGGATTATGAATTGTGCAAAAAATGTTTTTTTTTTTTTTTTTCCGTAAAAGTTATTTTCTTTTCTCTAACTCTGTATTGTCCAAAAGTTATTACTTAGGTAGATGTAGTATGGCCAATTATTAATGATATTATTCTTCCATATTAAAAAAATATATCAAAATTACAAGTGGACAATTTGGTGCAACTTTTCAAATATTTGTGTAGTCTTCTTTCACGCTACACTACTACTTAAGAATACTAGGAGGGTGTTTGTTTATGGGGATAAGAAGGGAATGATAGAAGAAATGTAGTGTTTGTTTAGAGATATGGGGATTAGAAGGGACTTAAAGATAGGGATTATACACCCCTCTTAGGCTCTTATCCCTCCATTCCTATAAGTCTATAACTAAGTGGGGTGGTAAAAGGGAAAGGAATAGAAAGTGAGTTGAAAAGACTAAATTACCCTCAATGATTTTTAAAGAATAAGGAGAGAAGCAAGAAGTCCGTAAAGGTAACTTGGAATAACAAATATTTATCCTTATCCCACCTAGTAGTTCCCTATCTTTATTCTCCCTCTTCATCCCTCTTATTCCTATTCCTCATATCAAACGCCACGTACAAATCTAGATGTAAATAATCATACCATCAAGTCAAATCTTACCCCTCTACAATGCACTGGCTACCGCTTCAATTAGAGCCAAGTTTGAGTGAAGAAAGGTAAAAGGTTAGATATGGAAGACGACAAGAGTGACAAAACTAAAAGAGAATATATTTAACAAAGGTATCTCCCTAATGATCTTATAATTCATCACATCCGTCCTTGTTTACCCATCAAACCCTTAACTCAATTCAAGGTAATTTCTAATGAATGATTTTTTTTATTTTCCTTTTCTTCTCCCAATTTTATACTTATTTACATCAAACTCACCCAGGTTCACTCATTGAATCCCTTTTTATCCAATCTGGTAACACTTTTTATTTTTACTCCGGTACTTTTCACAATAATGATAGTGTTGTTGAATCTACTTAAGCAATAACAATTTGGTTAGGTTAAATGTTGATTTTGATGTTGATGAAAGACATGAGATTAATTTGGTAGGATCATCAACTGGGTTGGTTTGTTTAGGTGAAAGATATGTAAAATACTTTATATTATACAACCCTGCTACTAATCAATATCATAAATATAAAACCTTGTTTCTAGAAGTTGAAATACTTTTATCCTTTTTCAATATTATTTGGGGATTTGGGTATGTAACCTCTCTGAATGATCATAAGGTGGTTGGAATTATTCAACAATTGAATGAAGCCAAATCAATTCATGTTTTCTCATTGAAATTTAACACTTGGAAGAAGATTGAATTTGGTTTTCCTGGATATATTATATTTAACGGCCAAAATTGGTCAATGAAACTTTGTACTGGACTGCTTTTGAGATATGAATTGAGAATTATTGCCTTTGGTCTTGCTCTTGAGACATATGAATTGTTCCCTCACTTGTCTTTGCATTGCCACGGGGGCAACGTGCTATCTTATGTGTCATGGGAGGGTGCTTATCCAAGTGTGCTCTCAATGCTGAAAATGAATTGGTTGTAGACTTCATGAAACGTCCAGGAGACGTAGATTCTGTTTGTTTTTCATGTGACTTTAGACAGTGATATCAGAGACATGACCGGGTTCACAAAGACTGGTAAGGTGGATGTTGTTTTTCAATATCCTCTAATGCTAGGTTTGGTTGATTCAAGTTCAAAGAAACCAATTTTCACTTTTGAAGGTTAAGGGAGAGATGAGATTGACGTTTATGTTCCGGGTCTAATTTCACCTCATCCTACTACAGATTCGACGAATGTAATAGGAGAGGTTTAATTTAAATCCATTGTCTTTTGTTTTCTTAAAAGTTTAAATCAAGCTGTTTAAATATGACAATGGATGTAAATTTGCCACTTTGATTTCATGGTTTAAAGAATACGTGGTATATGCTTGCGAGGCTTAAAAGATGCCTTCTTCCACTTGTTTGATCAACTTTGTTCGAGCACTTAATTGGCCTGCATTTTAGTTTCTGACTGTCTAGTACAGAATGCTAAATTTTAGTGTATCTTATTGTTTATCAGGAAGAATTGAAATAGTCAAGTGACTCCTATAACACATTAACGCTACTGCTAAGATGCAACTCTTATCAAATAAAGTAACAGATGCAACTCAATTACAGTGATTGGAAGCAGTTCTGTCAGAATTTTTCACTAGTTACCTTTATTTCAAGTCTCAACATGCCTCATCTAGTATTGAATTTTTGAAGCTTGACTGTTACAATTTGGTTTCTAACAGCAGTTCTGATGATTCAGTTAGGCAGGTTGCATAAACCTATTGACATGCTGTCCACCAAGACATGAAACTTGAAGATGCAACCTACAACCTTTACTTTGATCTATGAAACTGTTTTTGCTGTTATATTGGCAAAGCTATTTTAAACTTTTGCTAAGCTATGTGATCCATGAAGAAATGCTAGTATGTTTAACTGCTGTTGTAAAATGTTGGACGTTCTGTTTCCAATGTGCATCTTCCTTGATATGTTGTCTTTGATTTAGCTTACGAATTTTTCGGTTTTGGTACGAGAACTTTGTTGTTACAAACGACACACTTAACAACTGCAGGAGATGTTTCTTCCACAGTTGATGCAACTTTATTGCTGAGATCGTAAATCTGTAGATTTGTCTCTAACCAGGTTCCTATTTGGTGATGCAGGATTGCAGGTTGCATGAATTAACTTGACAGAAGATAGTTTGCCGCTGTGGCAGTGTCTGTGGAGATGTGAAGCTCAATGGAACAACTGACCTCTGTTTTGAACTATGAAAGTCTCTGTTTACAACTTGTTCCATCTAATCATGATTTCAGTTTCAAATAATTTACTGCATTTAGAAATAATATTGATATGTACCTTATGGGCAATTAATCCGTGGCTTATATGTAGTAATGGCATTAACTCAGTCTTTGGCTTCGTCTTACCGACCTCAATGATCATTGCAATCGGGTGGCATAAAAAGAAATATTTGGGCAAATTTTAAGGGATTATCTCAGACAAGTATTAGACTTTCCCTTTGGATTTGTTAAATACCCATATTTTTCTATTTATATTATTCACGTACTTCACTTTGAGCATTCTAAGTCATTTAAACAAAAGTAAAAATATAGTTACTTGGTCTCATAAAAAAAAAAGTATAGTTACTTGTTACAATTGTTTCAATGTACGTTGTTTTTTAACTATCAAATTTATACGGAATATGAAGTATGGAGTATGATTTACCCTACACTTCGTGATGGTGATGATAATAGATACTCGTATTATTGATCAAAGGTCCTAGAATTACAGAGTACATGTCTAGTAAGGAACAGAAAAATTAACCTTGGTCCCAATACAATGTGGACAATTTGGTCCAACTTTTCTGTCTTTATTACACTACAGTCACTACTCCACTACTCGAGTACAGTAGAAGTTTAGAAGTAAGATATCATACCATCAACTCAAAATCATACAACTCTACAAGGTTAGAGATATGGAAGACAAAGTTGTTTCCAAACAATCGTATTTTTCTCTCTTCTCCTAATTTCATCCTTAATTACACCAAAAAAAAAACCCTTACTTTCTTACCCAGGTCCACCCAGTGAATCCCTCGTAATACAATCTGGTGACAATTTTTACCTTAATCATCATTATTATCATTATGATAGGATCTTCAAAAGGGTTGGTTTGTTTTACTGAATATTTAAAGTTTTGACTGTTGCAGTGGTTTCCAACAGCAGCTGTTCTGATTCAGAGAGGCAAGTTACATAAACTTATTTTGACAGAAGAGAGTTAGTTTGCTGCTGTCCACCAAGACGTGAAACTTGAAGATGCAACCAACTACCTCGACTTTGATCCATGAAAATTCTTTTGCTATAATATGAACAAGCCATCTTCAACTTTTGCTAAGCTATGATCCATGAAGAAATGCAAGTATAACTGCTGATAAGTTTTTGCTTATTTGTTCGCATCTTCAGCTAAGTAAGTTTTTTTGCTAATCTAAGATCCATGCTGGAATGTAGGTTTTACTGCTGCTGTAAAAATTTAGTGGTTTAATCTGTAATTCTTTCTGAAACATGCGCTTTTTATATATAGACATAAAATTGCTTCAGAAGAGTTCAAAAGAGTGACCTCCGGATCCAACAAAAATTAAAATCTAGTATTCCAAACGAGGAAGTCGGGAAATACAG